AACATTCCATTAACTTTCTGTCAGAATAATACATATTATTTCATTTTAGATTTAAGGCACCAAGATAAATTATTTCTCCATCTGAAAGAAATCATATTAACATAGTTTGGTTTGTTTATAAGAATGAAAATTACTATATATCTAATTTGAATATCATTATATCTATATTTGGGAAACGTTGTGTCAATAGCCAATTATATAAGTCTGTGTAGATTAAAATCAATATTTAAAATAACATTTAAAGAAAACACAATAAGACAAAAGGCAGAGCCCTTTATTCTTACAAAAACTGAATTCAGTATGAATTTTACTTTATTTTTTTTTCCACTTTATTAAAGAAAAAAGAAATCTTTATTCTTCTGCCTAGGATCATATAAGTAATGAATGAGTAAAAGTACACAATGTAAAAATTTCATTAGTTTTATTCTTTCAGCGTGCACCTAAACTTTCAGGATTCTAAAAGTAAGTCTCATATAAGGTACATATTAGTAAGATACGTTTTTGTGGCTAACATTGAGTCAGATATAATTATCTTAATATTTTTTGTAAAGGAACCAAAACATTTTTCTTTTTCATTTGGATTTTCAATCTTCATTTATAGACTTAGTTTTAGTTCAATATAAGAGATGGGTTATTTAAAAGAATTCTTTTTATGTTTCAAAAATGAGATGATTAAATATCTAGAAATTGTAAACAAAGTACTCTCCATGACTATCTTATTACCAATGAATATGATATATATTTTTTGCTCTAACATCAATTATTTCAGTCAAATACCAGATAGCATTCCAGGCACTGAGGATAACAAAACAGAATAAGTCTCTGCCCTTCCAGATTTTATATTTTATAAATTAGAGAAGTACACAATAAAATAAGATATTTTAAAATATGGTAAGTAATAAGCCAAAGAATATACTATGTATCCAAGTAACTAATGTACTTAAAAATATCATAAAAGATAAAATAATAATTGTAAGAAAGGGAAGTATAGCAGAGGAAATAATCAAGACTTCACATAGAACGCGGTGTTTATTTTGACTACAGGAAAGGTAAAATTTGGAAAGCTGAGGCAGAGTTTGGGGCAAGTAAGCAAAGGTATTCCAGGTGGAAGAAGCAGAAAACAGGGACTGGGGAGCAGTTGAGGTTAGCTGGACAGGCCACAGGCTAAGGGGACACTTTAGGCAAAACTTACTGCTCTCTTACAGTGAGTCAGACAGCAAATGAAGTTTCACCTTAAGTACTCATTTAATTCCCCACCCCCATCAGCCAAGAGCCAGGATGTTCTTGAGATTAAGTAACGTGATTACAATTAAGTAGCTAATAATCATGGAGCTTGAATTTAAATCCTGGCTGGCTCACTGTTACCAAATCCCCACAACCTAAAACACTTCAGTAAATTCTCAAATTTGTTTTTTTTGTGTGTGTTTTTTTTTTAAACTGAGCATTACTTTTAGGTTGGCAGTTTTTTTCTTTTATTCCGTTAGAATATTGGCTGCTGGGTTCTTGCTTCCACCATCAGGAAGAAAATTGTCAGTCTTGATGCTCCTTGCAAGGTAATGTGTCTTTGTTCCTTGACTGCTTAAGATTTATTATCTTTCACCATCAGCAGTTTTACGCTAGCTAATCCTTTCTTTATCAGCATAGATCTGGAGAACTATCTAAAGCTGTGGTTACTGTCTTTTGTTACGTTTGGACTATTTCCAGGTGGTACTTTTTAAACTATTTCTTTAATTCGATCTGCCCTCTCTTTTCTTTTTGTTACACCAGTTAAACATCTATTAGCCCTTTTCATTATTTGCCATGTTTTGTGTTTTGTTTCCTGACTTCTCAATTCTTTTTTTTTTTTTTAATGTACTTTGATCTGGTTATTTAATGATAACGTTTTCTAAGATTTCTCTTATTAATCTTGAATTAATGTAAATAATGGGTTAAATTATTAAATTTCAATTTTTATTTTCAAACCCACAGTATTTCTTTCAGTATTTCTACTATAGTGGGTTTCTAGTGAAATTTCCTATCTTGCTTTCTATGTCCTTGCACATATCAATCATACTTATTTTAAAATATTCAGTAACCACAGTGTCTGGATAGTCTATTTGTACTGTCTGTTTTTCTCTTGACTTTCAGTCCTCAGCATTTCTTTAACTTCTCATTGAATACCAGACATTTTGTGCCAGACATTGAAGGGCTCTACTCATTTCAGCTGAGTGGGGTTTTAACATGACCTTGGCCGCTGTCCTTACTTCTAGATCATGGCCCTTTGGGGTCTCCACTGGAAGCCGGACATGTTTAGCAAGACCATTCCATCTTGCAGGCTCTAAAGGCCACCTCTGTCTTTCCTGCTGCACCTTTGCTGCTCAGTTGAGCTGCTGTATGCTTGCATCGGGTGCTTACATTTCCCTCCTCAGTAAACCCAGCTCAAAACATAATTTAATTATTTAATGCCAAGGTAATGTGTTTTAAAAATAGTACTTTACCTTTAACTGTTATTTACAATGATTGGAATTGATTAACTTTACCATGCTGAGCGGGAAAGTGCTTTGCACTAAGAATGTCTACATTCAGAAAAATGCTTCCGAATGAATTAAGCAACAGGTGAATAGAAATTCTTGAACTCTGGGTTATTTCTAGTTAATATTCCTTTCTACTCTTTTCAACATTTATATTTTTTTAATGTTTAACATTAGAAAAAAAATCTATTTCTTTTGTCTTTTTATGTTTCCTTTTCATGCAGATTCCATCATATCCGGAGATCACTGCTGCAGTCCCCGACACTTCAATGATAATTACACCATTAAACTGATGATAATTTTCTACTAATTATTATCATTAAGAATACCAATAATTTTTAGCTTTTAAGGAATATATGACTTTAATGGGAAAGAAATTTGATTGGCTTTTTGAATCACTAAATTTCTTTCAAATTATTACTGAGATGTCAAAATAAAAACCAGCAGTAAACTCATGCTTTTGCCTTTACAGAAATGATTCATACCTCTTAGAAAGTGAACTGTCAGAACATAACCAAAGGGCACCTCATCTTGTCCCCCAGATTTCAGATATGTCATCCATCCTATTCTGCCCTGATGTCCACCGCTAAATAGTTATTCCCCATTCACCACAGCACATGCTTCACTTGCCTATTGTAGAATTGTTTCCATTTTAAATAGCAGATTCATAAAGGTATAATTGTTACCTTCAAGTTCTCTTTTAATGTTTACAAAAAGGAAAAGGAAAAAAAATAAGCCAAACACAAGCCAGGGAATCTTTGGGAATGTTACCACTCTCACTGAGAAAGTTAACAATGTAGACTGACAATGCATGATTAAGTAACTCTAAAATCCAGCAAATTGTGAGTTCTTTTGATGAGCACTCTGAGTGGAGAATTAACAGGAATAAAGCCCAGTGTTGACAATCTGGTGGCTCTCATCCCCCTGCCTTTCGGCTGCTCACAGACATAGAAAACCACTTGGCCCTGTTAAACCAAAGCAGAACACTCAGTGGCAACTCTCATGCATTTGAGTTATTGTAACTTAAATGTCCATATATGGAACATGAATTTTTGTGTTTCTCTGGTTAATGTAACATTTAAAATAAATTTGATATCCACCTCTAGCAAACATACAGAACCTTTTTGTAATACATTCTGGATAATAACTATAGCTTTTACATTATTTTTTTTCCCTATCATATTCATTGCTTTTCATTTGTTCAACAAATGTGTATTAAGTATCTATGTGGGGCCAGGACTCCTCAAGATGCTGGGATGTATTAAACTGAACACTTTCTCCAATCTCAGAACTTCTGCTCTGCACGTATATGCATATAATTATGTAGACGTCTTGACTCTATGCACAAAGAAGAAACTGGGTTGGCATAGTCTAGTACAGCTCTGTCCAGTAGAAATATAAGGAGACCTCTGTGTGATTTAAATTTTTTACCAGCCACATTAAAACAAAGTTAAAGGAAACAGGTGAAGTTAATTTTAAAGTGTTTTGCTTAACTCTTTATATCTACTACTATTACAGCATGTAAGTAATGAAATTATTAGTGAAATATTTTACATTATTTCTTTTCATGCTAAATATTCAAAATCCAACCTGTATTTTATACTTGCAGCACATCTCAGTTGGAACCAGTCACATCGATATTCTATAGCCACATGTGGCTAGTGGCTACTATATTAAACTGTGAAGATCAAGATAACAGCTAACATTGATTTTAATATTTTTCATATTGCTAAATCTAGAGTCTTTAAATGTGCAGGCCCACATTCTACTGTTTTGACAATGAGCAGTAATCTGCAAAAATATTTTAATATATAAGTTATTACCCCACAGTAATTTGAGGGTGTTTATNAAAATATTTTAATATATAAGTTATTACCCCACAGTAATTTGAGGGTGTTTTTTAGTTGTTTGTTTGTTTGCCCAATCCTGAGAAAGTAACATTTTACTTTTAGTATTTTGAATATTGTTATAGGCCAACTCTATACTTTATAAAAATAATATGAAAGGTTTTATAATTTCAATCAACCAACATTACTGAATTTACCTGGGTTAATTATTTGTAATGCCACAAAGCTGACAGAAGGTTCATTTGTTGTAATTTTATACTTTTTAAACTTGTGAGCTAGTAGCTGAGCTGCATATTTAGTTTAAATCACTACTATCATATTACTAATACACTATTTTTTATAGTAAGACTTTTAACAAAGTCAATAGTTCTGCATTGTGAGCATAATTCATAAATATTTTCATATCTTATGCAGATTTTATTGATATGCTGCAAAATTTTATTGAATTACATACTAATGAATACTGTTTACACAGTTTTTAAACTGTGGTAAGAGTAATTTGAGAGAAGTATTGACACTCTATAAAACTTGCAAAAGGTATAAATTGACTGAGAAATCAAAATAGCCAGAAGTAATATCTGGATTTTAGGCTTAATAGTAAAAAACACCTAAAGGTTACATAATTTTTATATTGTTCCCTTAGAGCTACCAGTGTGTGTGCCTGCCTGGTTGGGAAGGACGTTTCTGCGAACAAGAATCCAATGACTGCAAAATGAATCCTTGTGAGAACAGCTCCACCTGCGCTGACCTTTCCCACAGCTATGGGTGAGTAATACAGTTACCGTTTCCTTCATGAAATTACTTGGAGTGCTCAGTGGCCTTGGGTTGCATCCAGACATTATTTTCACTTTACATCTATTTAATTAAAATAACCATCCCAAGATGAAGAACCATTCTCTGACACAATAGTGTCACATTCGTTTGATATTTACATGTACCAAAGTCCAAATGTCAAGTCAAAACAGGAATAAACATATTAAAACAGAGAGTGAAATGGTGGTTACCAGAGGCAGGGGTTGGGGGCATAGGAAAGATGCTGCTCTATAAAGGTACAAACTTGCAAATAGTAGCTAAATAAGCCCTGGAAATCTAATGTACAGTATAGTGAATATAAAGAACAATATTGTATTATAATCATCCAACTTGCTAAGAGACTAGATCTGAATTATTCTTACCACAAAAAGGAAACTATTATTATGTGACATGACAGAGATGCTAACTATGCTACAATGGCAAATATGCTACAATATGTAAATGTATCAGATAAACATGTTTACAAGTTCAATTTATACAATGTTATTAAATACAGGTTTAAAACATTAAATATATTTCAAATAATAAGGAAACACATTTTAATTTGGAAATGTGATTTTCCGATATAGCACATGTGACAAATGCATTTACTCTGTAAAACGTGCTTTTCCATCTCAGCCTTGTTTTGGACGATTCCATCCACGCTAAATGAGCGCCAGGATCTGACTGCTTAGCTGGTCTGTTGAATTTAAACTTTCAATTTGTAACCTAGAGATTATCATGAGTTTGGATTACTTTAGTCAAGTTATTGATACATTTTACAACATAGATTATCCACATTTTAATAATCAAGTAAACTAATTGGAAATTCTGAGTAGCTATTGATATTTCAAGTGTTTAATAATCAAATATATTATCGGTTAACTCATTCTTTGACTTATTTGTTGTACACAAGGTCTCTCAAGGGGATGCAAAGCCAGGTGTATTGCAACTGGAATGTGTTTTTTCTTGTCACAGAAGCAGAGTAATTGAATACAAATATACTTAGATAATTGTTTTTCAGGGACAAGTCAAAATGATTTCAAGGTGTCCCCCAAAATAACTCATATACTGTCTTTTGTCTCATGATTACATTGAGAACTCTGAATCATCTGAAGTATGTAAGAGTTTTCACAAATGTTTCTCACTTTTGGTGGCTAAAGTGGGATATAAGACCCAGACTAGTCATAGTTGTCAATTTATTTCATTAAAGGAGGGTTCTGAAATAGCAAGCAATAGATTAATATTTCAATGACAGGAAAAATAAATGAATAATCTTGGTAATATTAAAAAACTCACAATGCTAATAGTTGGAATTAGTTTAAAATACATAAAAAAAAAAATGTAAAAACCCTCAGCTATTTTTGTATGATATTGATATATTGATACATCACAAATTACTATGAACTGCTTTGTTATGCAGTGGGAAAAATCAACTTTTGTTGGGCTAAGAAAAAAGCTTCATGGATGTCTATGTTTATTTTATTTTCCCTAAATAACCCTATTAATTGTAACCTACAATATAGAATATAAATTTTCCAGTTTTGTTTTTTCCCCCCTAGAGACTCTGATACAGGCATTTTAACATTTCAGTCTTTTTTAATTACTAAAAATAATTCATTTTTGCATTTGAGTATGTGTGCACTCACACTGTTGATCACCTCCAGACAAACACCAGCAGGAACACACCTTTAGTTGAACAAATTGGGTTTATAACTCATTTTCCAGAGGCAGAGCACACACTGGGTAAATCCCTGGGGCATCCCAGTAAAAGGGTGCTGGAAAGGACTTAGAGGTTTGAGCTCGTGACATGCAATTTGGGGGAGGGCTTAAGAAAGCAGGACCTCGTCCTAGATGAGATACTGTAGGAAGTGAAAAGAATTCTATGATTTGGTTCAGGATACATCTTATCTGGAAGGATGGGAGACTAGGCAGAGGTGAAAGTCAGCATTTTAAAAGAGGCATCAATCATTGATATTAACCATGACTGGGGAGTGTTTGTGGCATAGATAGTGTCCCCATTGTTGTGTGTATTCAGATGTAATTGTGGCGTAGGCTTGTTTTTGTTGTGATTCGTCAGGGTTGCAGAGCAGCCCTGTCTCATTTTGGTGTTCTGTGAAATGGTCTGTTGAAATGTCCGACGGGACACCAAGTTCTAGCTGTACACCTAGCTTTTAGTACTGCAGAGCTCCTGGGTGGCCTTGATGTTAGTTGCTGCCCTTTCCCAAAATACAGTGTCCTACATATGTGTAACAAAGATGTATTTGTGTGTGTTTATGTGAAATATGTCACTAATGTCTGTCCACCTATTTGTCCAAAATAATGTTATTCACATCATGTATATCAAACAGAATGAGAGGACTAAAATATTAATTTAATTTATTACCTAACATGGCAATATTTTTATTTAGATAAAAATACTATTTTCTATACAGATCTTAAAGATATAAAACAAGCAACTAAATCTATAAGACTTAATTAAAATATACTTTATTTTAATATTCATGACACCTAATCAGCCTTTCTAGATAACTCTGACATCACTAATTGTGAACTCTTAGTTATTTAAATTTATAAATATGTCAGAAGACTTTGCCACTTTGAGTAACACAAACTCTATTAGTCATTTTATCACTCCTTAGATTTTTGATAGATTACTGATTTTATTTCCAAGAACTTAAGTGTTGCATTTTTTATGGATATAAAAATAGACTAAGTGTAGCTGACATAGGCTTTCTGACTTTGTTTCTTCTTTGTGATTTTAAAGATAATGCATTAATATAAATGCTGTGTCAACACTGGCTTAACTAGATTGTAAGGAGAGAGAATTCACTAAATACATTATCAATGAGGTGAGCATAATTTATATAATGCATGTGTTAAGTATACATACGATGACTCACTGTTTAGAAACATCCTTACCAGATTATCTTCTTTACAATAACTATTGAGACATAATCTACATACTGTATAAATCTATTTTTAAAGGGTAAAATTCTGGACATTTCATATAGTCAGAATTATGCAATATGTGGTCTTTTGTGACTGGCTCATCCCACTTAACATAATGTTTTCAAGGAAGGTTTATGTTGCAGCAAGTATTAATGCTTCATTTCTTTTTATGGCCAAGTAATATTACATTGTATAATTATAATATATTTGTTTGTTTATCTGTTCTTCAGTTGATAGATGTTTAGGTTGTTCCTACATTTTTACGTTTATGAATAATGCTGCTATAAATATTCATGCACAGGTATGAGTGTGGGCATTCATTTCTAGCTCTTTCAAGTATATAATTAGTAGTGGAACTGCTGGATCATATGCTAATTCTACATTTAAGGGGCTTCCAAACTCTTTTCCAAAGTGGATGCACTATTTTACAATCTCACTAACAATGTATAAAGATGTTAATTTCACCACACTGTTGTATTTATTGATGTGCCTTCTTATTGTAACTGCCCTAGCTCTTGTGAAGTGTTCTCTCAAAGTATATTCGACTTGCAGCTCCCTAAGGACTAATGATGTTAATTAACGATCTTACTATGTGCCATCTTAAGGTGTGCTTGTTTACTAATATATATGTATAAATAAGAGCAGAGCAGCATCTTACAAATGATGAATCCATGGAATCATATAGACAGCAACTCATCCTATTCTATATATATCTATAGATACAGCAAATGAGAAACACTAAAAAGAAATTACTTTATTCTTTTGTTATTAAGCAACAGTTTATTAATTAAGCTCTAGGTCTCTCTGAATCATTCCCATAAATTTCCACTGAGCAAAACTTTCAGAAGTCTCAGTAAAGGATACAATGAATATCTTCATTTTGTGAAGTGTCAGTCTAGAGAAAACATCAAAAATTGAAAATAAAATTCTTAAATTTCATACTATTTGAGGGAATTCACATTATATGCCATAATGAATTCTTGAAATAGCATAGTTTTTAAGATGTCAAATGAGAATTGCATTTTATTGACCATATGTTTATATTCTTTGAGAAGAAAAATGTCAGGAAAATGACTATTTTTGCTGGAATATCAAATCTCTTTAGGTGATCTGTGTGTCCTAAGTACTGAACCACCTACATGGGCTCATCTCTAAACTCATCACTAAACTACTGGAGTTAACATAGTTTAGTGTTTACACAGTTTCAAGACATTAAAAAGCAAATTGGACTAGGGATGTAATTTGAATGCTGACTGCAACCTGCCTTCTGCCATTCCTGGCACGGCTTAGAATTGAACTGCCTTCTTTATTTCTGATTTTTCTTCCCTCAAAGCAGAGTCAACAGCTTTAGCTACAGATGGGGCTCTGTATGGCAGTTAAAGGACCCAGATGCCACACTCTGGAGCATGTTTTGCCAACAGCATCTGATTCCTTTGCTGCCGGGGTCATTGGCATTCGTGTGGATGCTTTGGCCTGCTTTTCTTATGGGACACTACAAAGTAGACTTTTAAACAGCATAAAGGTTCACCTCCAGCTGACCATATGAATTTTGTTTCTTTTCCTCAGTTTATAATTTATGCAAAGTTGTGCTAGGTGCCTTAAATTATGAACTACTACACATTAGCAATTTCTGAGCTTTTTCTAAGGATGTTTTTAAAAAAATTAATGGATATAACTAAAAAGCTTGAAATTTAATGAGTATAAGTAAAACCAATCTATATTGATTTATATGTGTTTAATATATTGAATGAAAACTATAAAATTCTTGTGTATTACTGGAGATCTCATTTTTTTTTTTTTTTGCTTGTTTGTATTGCTTAGCTAATGCAGAGAGGCCAAAATGCTAATAATAAATGTAAATAAGTGCTAATATAAAAGTAAATCATTGCAGAATTTTAATCCAGAAGCAGCAATCTACGGTACAATATTCACCTTTTGCTAAAGGTCATATTAGGTTAATGACCTCACTTTAACTTCATTACCTCTTTAAACCCTATTTCCAAAGGAGGTCACATTTTGGG